GAACTTGCAAGTTAGAAGTGATGGATGTCGAAGTTCAATGAGAGGTATGTTAATACCATGACATCGATTATGATAGTGAGAATGAAAATAATATATTGAAGTGATCATGCGTGAAGTAATATACCTACTAAGTACCTATTTCGTGGATGAAAACACGATGTAGGTAGGTAGGTATGACATGATGCATGAAAATAATATGAAACGTGGATCATGAAGAATGAAAAATTGAAGGAACTAGTAGAAATAAGATAATAGAAGAAATAAGGCTATACCAAAAAGAAAGTTTAAAAATCATCTACCTAATATCTAGTAAGGTTTTTCCTTTGTTAGAAAGGAAGGTTTGAATGGGATGGCTTTCGTTCATTTTCTTTTTCTTTCGGTATAGATATGAGTGCGGAGTGTGCTTGAAACTTGCTTCTGTTTGTTTTTTCTTCTTCTGCTTCTTTCTTCTTTTTTTGCTTTTTGGAAAGGATAGAGGGGTAGAAGGGGAGAATTGGGTTTGGCGTTATGTTATTAGGATGTGGGAGATGCCTAGTAGGTATCTGCTTCGATTTTGATTCGGCGAATATGCTAGAGTGATTGAGATGATGTTGTGATTGTTCTCTAATAGTGGCTGGTAGCTGGTGCTGGTTGCTGTTTTTGTAAGTTGTATGTATCACTCGTTTTGTATGCTCAGGGTTCAGTTGGAAAATACTTTTTCTGATTCCTAGAAGATGGGGATATTATCCAACGGAAAGCTTGAATCCACTTTCATGTGCGAACACAAATTGATCAAGCAGTTAACTTCACCTCTACAACCAGTAGGCTACACACACCTTTCCTCCATACCCAGAAATACTACCCCCCCCCCCCCCCCCCCAAAAATACCACAGCCAGCCCCAAACATCCCTCTCTCGTGAGAGGCCCGGTTAATGGTAGTGGATGGACCAGTTGCATGAGCCAGGCACCCCTTACCGAGCAAATGAGCCCGGGGAGCGCCGGAACTGCCAAATTGTCCCTCGCATGGGGTTTGTTGAATTGAATACCACGATGC